TCCCAGTCCCTCCCAGCACTCCCAGTCCATCCTGGTGTTCCCAGTCCCCTCCCAGCACTCCCAGTTCATCCCATCATTCCCAGTCCCTCCCAGCACTCCCAGTTCATCCCATCATTCCCAGTCCCTCCCAGCATTCCCAGTCCATTCCAGCACTCCCAGTCCACCCCAGTGTTCCTAGTCCATCCTGGTGTTCCCAGTTCCCTCTCAGCATTCCCAGTCCCATCATTCCCAGTCCCTGCCATCATTCCCAGTCCATCCCAGTCCCTCCCATCGTTCCCAGTCCCTCCCATCATTCCCAGTCCCTGCCATCATTCCCAGTCCATCCCAGTCCCTCCCATCGTTCCCAGTCCCTTCCAGCATTCCCAGTCCCTGTCATCATTCCCAGTCCATCCCAGTCCCTCCCATCATTCCCGGTCCCTCCCATCATTCCCAGTCCCATCATTCCCAACCTCTCCCATCATTCCCAGTCCCTCCCAGTGCCTCACCCATCCCCCAGGGAGAAGCCGCTGTGGGAGCTGCTGTTGAACCCCGGGGACGGCGCGGTGGGGACGTACGAGACCTCTGGCCAGGGGGAGCACTGCGGGGAGGGACAGGGACAGGGGGGGACAGGTGAGGGACAGGTGGGCACGGGGGCACCTGGGCACACCTCCACACGTGTGCATCCACACACACCTGGCACCTGCATGCATCTGGACACACCTGCCCCTGCCCCAGGTGAGCTCACCTCGGTCAGGATGGTGGTCTCGTAGGAGGGCTGGCACTGCCCCTGTCCCTGACCTGTCCCAGGTGTCCCAGGTGTGCCAGGTGAGCTCACCTCGGTCAGGATGGTGGTCTCGTAGGAGGGCTGGCACTGCCCTTGTCCCTGACCTGTCCCAGGTGCCCCAGGTGTGCCCCAGGTGAGCTCACCTCGGTCAGGATGGTGGTCTCGTAGGAGGGCTGGCACTGCCCCTGTCCCTGACCTGTCCCAGGTGCCCCAGGTGTGCCCCAGGTGAGCTCACCTGTCCCCTGACCTGTCCCAGGTGCCCCAGGTGTGCCCCAGGTGCCCCAGGTGAGCTCACCTCGGTCAGGATGGTGGTCTCGTAGGAGGGCTGGTATTTCTCCTTCTCGTGGGGCGTTCTCTTCTCCATCTTCTCCCGGTCCGTCTTCTGCTTCCGGTCGGCGCCTTTGGGCTGGGACGGGGACACCGGCACAGGTGTGGGCACGGGGGACACGGGTGGGGACATGGGTGGGGACACAGGTGTGTGCTCAGGTGGCTCAGCCCTCTTGGTTATTCACGGACCAAAAGGGAGCATTTTTGGGGAGAAGCTTGTCCTGACCCCAGGAGATCCCAGGAATCCCAGGAGATCCAGGGTGACCCCAGATGATCCCAGGTGACCTCAGGAGATCCCAGGTGACCCCAGGAGATCCCAGGTGACCCCAGGAGATCCAAGGTGACCCCAGGAGATCCCAGGTGACCCCTGGTGACCATGGTGACCCTAGATGACCCCAGGAGATCCCAGGTGTCCCCAGACGTCCCCAGGAGATCCCAGGATACCCCAGGAGATCCTAGATAACCCTAAATTATCCCAGGTGACCCCAGGAGATCCCAGATGACCCCAGGACACCCCAGAAGACCCCAGGTGACCCCCAGAGATCCCAGGTGGCCTCAGGAGATCCCAGGTTACCCCAGGTGACCCCAGGACACCCCAGATGTCCCCAGGTGTACCCAGGAGATCCTGGGTGACCCCAGGTGATCCCAGGTTATCCCAGGTGATCCCAGGAGGTCCCAGGTGACCCTAGGAGATCCAGGGTGACCCCAGATGTCCCCAGGTGTCCCCAGGAGATCCCAGGTGATCCTGGGTGACCCCAGGTGATCCCAGGACACCCCAGGAGATCCCAGGTGACCAAGGTGTCCCCAGGAGATCCCAGGTGTCCCCAGATGCCCCCATGTGACCCCATGCACCCCCCTGGGGGGGGCGGGGTGGCACCTTGAACACCTTGATCTGGCAGCTGGCCGAGTGCAGGTGCTCGGTGTAGTCGCCGCTGTCGCTCTCGCGGAAGGTGTCGATCTGCACGCGGAACGGGACCCCCTTCTCGCCCCCGTGCTTGCGCAGCGTGAACTCCGTGCTGATGCAGTGCACCTGCAGCAGGGCAGGGGACAGGTGAGGGGACACCTGGGCACAGGTGTGGACCAGGGGAGGGGCTGGGCACAGCCTGGGGGCAGGGGCAGGGAACACTGGTGCTCACCTGGCTGATGGGCAGACCCCACCTGTGCTCACCTGGATGAACGGCAGACCCCACCTGTCCCTCAGATCCCACCTGTCCCTCACCTGGCTGAGGGACAGACCCCACCTGTCCCTCAGAGTCCACCTGCACTCACCTGGATGAGGAGCAGAGCCCACCTGTCCCTCAGACCACACCTATCCCTCAGACCCCACCTGTGCTCACCTGGCTGATGGGCAGACCCCACCCGTCCCTCACCTGGATGAAGGGCAATGCCCACCTGCGCTCACCTGGCTGAAGGGCAGACCCCACCTGTCCCTCACCTGGATGAGGGGCAGACCCCACCTGTGCTCACCTGGATGAAGGGCAGACCCCACCTGTCCCTCACCTGGATGAAGGGCAGACCCCACCTGTCCTCACCTGGATGAGGAGCACATCCCACCTGTCCCTCAGACCCCACCTGTGCTCACCTGGCTGATGGGCAGACCCCACCTGCGCTCACCTGGATGAAGACCGAGGTCCTCTTGGCGGGGTCCCACAGGAACTCCACGGTGTTGAGCTGGGTGGGGTTGGCGCGGGGGTCGATGATCCCCACGGACATCGGGATATCTGGGGTGGGAGATGGGTCTGTCACCAGGTGAGGCGTCCCCCCCCACACCCCCCCCAGCCCCACCTGGCCGGCCAGGTGAGCTCACCGATGTCCAGGATCCTGTCCCCGGGCCTGTTCCACCTCCAGCCCTCCAGCTGCTGGTGCTCCGTGTACTGGAGCCGCCGGTCGTGGAAAACCACCCGGAAGATGCTCTGGGGGGGGTGGAATGGGGGGGGGGGTGTGATGTCACCTGTACCTGCCCTGGCACACCTGGGCAGGTGCCCCCCTGCTCACCTTGACCAGCTTCCCGTTGATCTCCGGCAGCTCCCCCAGTTTCCTGTTGTCCAACATCCGGATCTCGTAGGACTGACCTGGGGGGGGAGGGGTGGGGGGAAACCTGAGGGTTACCTGGAATCACCTGGCGCACACCTGAGAGCAACCTGAACACACCTGAGAGCACCCTGAACACACCTGAGAGCAACCTGAACACACCTGAGAGCACCCTGAACACACCTGGGACCACCCTGGATACACCTGGGACCACCTTGGATACACCTGAGAGCACCCTGAACACACCTGAGAGCACCCTGAACACACCTGGGACCACCTTGGATACACCTGTGAACACCCTGCACTCACCTGTACCCACCAGGAATACACCTGCAATCACCTTGCACACCTGTGAGCACCCTGAACACACCTGTGAGCACCCTGAACACACCTGTGACCACCTTGGATACATCTGTGAGCACCCTGAACACACCTGGGACCACCTTGGATACACCTGAAACCATCCTGCACCCACCTGTAACAACCTTCAACACACCTGGAACCACCCTGAACACACCTGGAACCATCCTGAACACACCTGGAACCATCCTGAACACACCTGCAACCATCCTGAACACACCTGGAACCATCCTGAACACACTTGCAACCAGCTTACACACACCTGTGACCACCCTGCACACACCCGGAACTACCTCACACACATCTGTGACCATGTCACACACACCTGGAACCACCCTGAACACACCCGTGAGCATCCTGCACACACCTGGAACCAGCTTGAACACACCTGTGACCGCCTTACACACACCTGTGACCACCCAGAACACACCTGGGACCACCTTACACACACCTGTAACCACCTTAAACGCCCCTGTAACCCCCTCACACCCCCCTGTGACCCCCTCAAACTCCTTTGGGACCCTCTCACCCACCCCTGTAACCTCCCCCACACCCAGAGCGCCCCCCTTAGCCAGGTGTGCCCACCTTGGTTGAG